ATATATTTATTTATATTTATATATATTCTTATTTTTATATAGATTTATATATAACACATATATTTGTATAACATATAGAATAACTTAAATATAAATAATAACTAAATGTACATACATATTTATATACATATATATAGATCAATATCAAGCAATTATTTTCATAGCTAACGCATTATGGTCCGCTCACATTTGGCATTCGATTTTGCTATCGCACAAGAGAGCTACATGATCGCTACAATTAGCACAACATGCAACAAGTGAGGCACTGCAGCAGCGAGGCACTGAAGGTGAGGAACTGGAGGCCCAGCTGTAAGAGTCTGGCATGGCAGATGCTCGTGGTGATAGCGGAGATTTACCAAAACGGGCAACTCTAACAAATGGGCTGGCAGTTAATGTACAACCACGTTTCACCCAAAATTGGCGTGCAGCGTAAAAATGAGACAACGTGTTCTACACAGCCAAAGAGCTGCAAGAGCTGCAAGAGCTGCAAGAGCTGCAAGAGCTGCTAGAGCTGCTAGAGCGCTCTGCCCCCACACTCCTACTCGACTCCAACTACCATGCGAGATCCGACTACAACTCTCGCTCAATCTCACGCGACACGCTCATAATTCATAAACTTGGCCATCGCATGAGCTCCGCTGCAGCTGGAAGCTAATGCAGATGCTGATGCTAATGCAAGCACACACATATAAATATATACACATACATATCTGTGTATATGTATCGACTCTAACTTCGCCATTGGCCATCAACACCCAGCTCCAAATGGGGCTCGTGTGTGGCCATTGACACACGAGGCGCTGCTGCACAGCTGGATGCGACGTCGTCCACCCAAAACGCAACTATTTAGCTATAGATATACGTATGTATGTATGTCTGTATGTGTGTATGTGTATGTATGCAGGTGTGCGGTGTGCGGTGTGTGCGCAGGTGTGTCGACAATTCCTGGGAATGGAAACGGCATAACTAGAGATGGCAGCGTGACAACTAAATTAAGGCTGATTGGAGCACAGAGGCCTGAATGATCTCATTGGAGGATTCCCTTAAAGAGAGCTTAGAAGCATTGGCAGTAGTTCCAGGAAAAGAGAGTTTATATAGTTGATTGCATGTTGGCTTCATATCTTTTCACCCTCACTTGCTCCTCGATTTTGGTCTCTATATGCATTAGGTCCTCTTCGCCTCATTTTGCCTTGCTCAAAGTCATATTTCTCATTCCTCACTCTACCACTTTCTCTCTCTTACTTTCCCATGCATTATCTCTATTTGCCTCCCTCTCACTCACACACACTCTCTCTCTCTCTCTCTCTCTGTCTCTCTCTCTCTCACAGTTTTCTATATGCCTTCCTCTCACTCTCACTCTTTCTCTCTCTCTCTCACAGTCCCTTGCTCTCTTACTATTTGCCTCCCACTCCTGCTATCTTTCTATCACTCTATATCTCTCATATCTCTTTATACATATTCTCTTGTGACTTAACTCTCATATCTCTCTATACATATTCTCATTTGTATTTCCTTTCCCTACCCTCTCCAAAGCTGACTCTCATTCTGTCCAAGGAATCTCTCAACTCTCTCTGTCTAACTTCTCTCCCTTTTCCCACACCCATGGAAAGCAACACTCCTTCAATTGGTTCGTTGATGCAGTTAATTTATTGCTTTTCGTATTTAGATTTAGCTAAGGCTAAAGCACTAAGACATCGTCCGATTTACGTTTCGATTTACACACACACAGTTTGTTTGTTTTTTTTCTCACACTTTACAACTTAAACGCTAGTAGCAGGGGGAGGGTGTTTGTAGTGTTAGTAGTTAGTACAATGAATTCTGTTTTAGGTTTAGGTTTAGTTTTAGTTTCTGTTTCTCTCTTTTTACTTAAGTCTATAAGTATTATGCATAGATATTATCAATTAGATCCAAACTGGTCGCTGCTATGAGCGAATGTTGCCCAAAAGCGGCGTCCGCTCGGCCGCCTTGGAGGTAATCACGGTGTGGCCCGCCGATCCGGTGGGCGGCTGTGTCGGTGCCTGTGGGCGTGGCCCCCTTGAGCTTGGACCGGGTCGCTCGTCAGCCTCCTCGATGCGCGATTGCCGGGACAAGCGCTTCTGCTGACTCAGCTCGTGCAAGTAGAGAGCACTAAGGCACATATCCGCAACGGTGACGCCAATCGGATTCTTGGCGAGGCGTGGCTCCACGCCGTATAGGCTGTAGAGCAGGGTATCCGTTGGTCCCTCGAGGCGTCCTTCAGCCTTGCTAAGACGCAGTCTTCGCATGCTGTCCCCTGGACCCATGCTCATGCTGCTCAATGGCTCGCCCAGATTTTGCTGCAGCATCTGGCGGAAGTCGGATGCAGCCGCTGCTCCGGCTCCAACTCCAAGTCCAGCTGGAGGATTGTTAAAGCTAGCACGGCCAGCGTTCATTGACTGCGAGAGCTGCAGCTGCTCGGGACTCACATCGGCAGCCAACACAGAGTTGGCTATGGAGGAGTACGCCTCGCCAATGTTGCCAAATGAGATCAGGCTGTGCATCAGCGGATTATCACGTGCCGCTGTCTGTGGCGATGTCTTCGCCTGGACCAGCTCATCGATGGCATGCTCTCGAATGCCCTTGATAAACTTGGAGGCCTCCTTTGGCATCTGCCATTCTGGATTGTTCAGAGTGAAGCGCACCAGCGACATTTCCGTCTTGCCGCCAGCCAAACTCTGCTGCTGCTGCTGCTGCTGATGCAGTGGATCATTGTTGAGACCAGGTAGATCCAACAAATGGCTATTGTTGATCTGCCAATCGGGATTGCCATGCTTGCGCACGTCCATCTGGGCAAAAGAGCAAACGTTGCCAACGCCACGCACAGAAACTGAAAATGGAAAAGTTTTAGTTATATATGGTGATATATAGAGCAGAAAGAAAGATGAGCCAACTCACCTGTGAAGCTGCGAAAGAACTTAACAATCTCCATGGCCTTGGGTCGAAAGACAAAGATGAGCACAAATGGCGTCACGAATGGACTGAAGATCTCGCTGAGCAGATAGCCCGCCTTGAACTGGAAGAAGTTGCTGAACTCGCTCCGCACGTGGGCAGTGTGGGCCTGCTGCTTCCATTCGGTGGGCAAGTAGTGAACGTGGGCTAGGATGGCGGTCATCAGCTGCTCGGGGCACCAGATGAGGTTCTCATCGGGTATGAAGGTGCGGCATAGCACGCCGACAACGGTCAAGGCAGCGATAATACTGAGCACATGCTCCACCTGGAAGACATGCTCGTCGTAGATGCCCAGGGCGAGTATCAGGATCAGCAAGCCTCCGCTTATGAAGAGGCCGTTACGGGCTATCACAGCAGCCAGAGGCGAGGAGAAGGAGCTCAAATAGCGATCGGCGTACTCGTAGGCGCGATTCAGGCGTGCATCCAGCTCATGGTCCAGCTCATTGAAGTGACGCAAGTAGAGGCGTCCGTAGTTCGACCAGGTGCGCACACCTAAGGCACTGGGCTCCTTGCGCAAGATGTTCGCATACGAGAAGCTGAAGTAGATCAGCTGCCAGAGGAATATGACGGGAGCCAGCAGCAGGTTAACTAGTGCCACGCCCAATATCAGCTTCGACAGCCTTTGGGCCAATTCCGTTTGATTGCTGCGCACGGCGAACTCATCGCGCAGCTGCCAATTGTTCTGGAACGGAGAACCAGGTCCGCGGAAGAGTATGAAATCGATGTTGAAGAGCATGCCGCGAGAGAGCGAGACGACCTCGCCAATCAATGGCAGCTGGAAGCGGACAGGCAGCAGCTGCTTGTTCATGAGAGCCACCAAATAGTTCTTGAAGCGCAGAATGCGATGGTAAATGTCCAGCTCCGTGAGCAGCTCCTTGTCGATGCACATGTGCTGCTCGGCTTGCACCTTGCGCGTGCGCTGCTGCACGTCGTGCCAGGTGATGTTATCCAAGTCGCTGTCCTCGATGCCCAGGGCAGTGTTGTAGAATCTCTTGATATCAGCGTATTGGGTTATGTGATAGATCGTCTTGAGCAGCCGTATGCCCAGGTATATGGCAGCCAGGAATATAGTCAGATAGGTGAAGAACCCAAATTTGGACACACATTCACCCGTCGATATAAAGACGTCGCTCAGCATCGTTTTAGTTCGATTAGGCTCGGGCAAACTATTGCCAAAGAGCACATCGTACTTTATGCAGTGCGTCGAAAAGGTAAACAGCCAAATGACGAACCCGAGCTCCAGCACCTGAAACACCTCGTCCAGTACAATAACACGAAATCCATGCTTTTGTTGATAGTTGTACATGCGGGAGAAAAAGGAATCGAGATCTTCGATGTGATTCCAGCGTTGCGATTCTTTTCCAGTTTCGGGAACGATATGTATCATAATTCCACTATTGTGTGACATATCCTCGTGCTCGTGGTCGTGTTCCTGGTCTCCATCTTCTTCGTCATCCGCGTGTTCGCCTAAATGCGCAGCAGCTGTAAATGTTTTTGCGTCGTCCAAATTTGTTTTTATGTTCGCTGCTGTTGTTGTTGTTGTTTGAAATGGATTTGCGTGCTCCTCAGCCAAGGAGCGATAATTAATGTTTGGGCTAGCCATGACGCACACCTCACAGCGCCCAAGGTCAATTGTATATTTTCCTATGTATATATATTTATATCACTGTGCTATCTATCTAGTATAGTTTAAATGAATAATTCGTCTTCTTTGTTGTTGAATTTGGCTACTGTTCGCATAATGCGTTGCGTATAAAAGTACTAATGAAATGCCCAAAATAGAATTAATTGGTCACACTCGACATATAACAGCTGGTCACTCAATTTGCAGAACACCTGATGCGTTTTTGCAAAAAATGCCTACTTTTAGATGTCGAAATAAATTTAATACCATTTGTATGCGCTAAAAAGTATGCAACTCTATTCAAGTGTGGAGTGAGTGGAGCAGAAATGTTATTTATCAGACTGTTGAGTCAATTACAGCACTGTTAGATGCCTTGGCAATTGCTGACTATCGTTGGTCGTCCATCTCTAGGTTGAACAAAAAATGCAAAAATAAGTACACGATAGACGTACAGTCATTTTAATGCTCGGTTATTAATTTGCTCGTGTTTTTGTGTTAAATATTAAATAAAGAATACAAAGGATTGCAAATCAGTTTATTTAGTGTTTGTGGAAGCTGAAAAATATATAGTGTTGTTTGTGCACGCGGAGCATAAACTAAAGAAAGCGAAGCGTGAGGTAAGTTAGAAAAACGACGCGACGTGCAGGGGAAAAAATACTCGAAAGAATTTGTCACCTAAGAAATTGCGAATTTCACATTACATTTGTATCGTACGCGCATATGTGAAGATGTGTGTGTGTGTGTGTATTTATATATGTGCGAACTAATAAAAAATGTTATACTGTGCTTTGCATTGCTTTCGGCAAATTGCCAATTGTGCAGTCCTTGTGCACTGTCTTTCGTGGCTTCTTTTGGCTTCCCATTCACATTGTATTTACAACCACCAAGCTAAAAGGTTCTTGAGAAGGGAAAAATAGATTGGACTGAGCTGCTTTTGCTTATTTTGCTGTAATGTTACATCAGCCCTCTCGCTTGCACTCGCATGTGAATGGCGCGCCGGCTTTCCGCATTTTGAGTGCAAAGGCGTCGCAGTCGACGGCGCTGTTAGCGATTTAACTGTTGTTTCTGTTACCTTCTTTGCTTTTGTCTGTTGTTTTGCTATTTTCCACGCGCCTTTTCGCTGGCTACCGCGTGTGCCGGCACACACGCACACACACACTCATAAGCAACTTCATTATAGTGTAATTTAGTTATTCTTTGTTGTTGTTTTGCAAGTCGAGAGATAAAATCAAAACAAATTGTTTACTCGAAAATAGTAACTCCCACGCTTCGCTTCGCTAAGCGCGCTGAGTTCAACGTGCCGCTACAAATATGGCAAAAAACGACAAATACAGCATAACCTACATTTTATGCATAGTATTTTGCCGTTATTTATGTGCTGCTGCTGCTGCAGCCACAGTCACAGCATCAATCGATTGATCGAATCGAGTGGAGATGTTTTTATTTTGGTCAATTAATGTAATTAGACACGTGTGATCAACCGAGACACAAAATCAAATGAGGAAAGAGAAAAATCGAGAGAAATTTTGACAGGCAAAGTGAAAGAGTGAGAGCAACTGCTTCAGGTTAGCAAGCGAAAGGGGCAGAGATAGAGAGTGAAGAAGATAAATGCTGAGCAAACGAGAGTTTAAGTAAATATAGAACTGTTTATACGAAAAGGTATAACGGCTAACAACAAAACAAAACATTTATAAATGTATAACATTTATAACGAACTTCCTAACACTTCAAGTAAATGAATAACAAATTTATATGTAAACGTATAACAATATAACACTTTGTGAGTGTATAGCAAATACAAATATATAATTTTATAGGACGAGCAAACTTGCAAGTAGAATTATTGAAAATATATTTAAATGTATAACAGTAGTGATGGTATAACAGTAGAGTAGAAATATATTGGTTTACATAACCTGTGAACTTCTTCCAATAGCAGTCAACAATCATGGGAATTTGCATTCATCTGAATATAACATCTGAATATATTCAGAAATCTGTTATATAGGGTATTTCGCAGTCGGTCGCAACCTATCACTATGGGCTTATCAGTGTTTGTAGATTCTAATTAGCGAATGTGTTGAGCTTGTGATGTTTAATTCTCCTTCAAAGTTACCCCTAAATTATATATTAGAGTGTATTATTAACTAACATATACTATAATTATTGTTATATAAACTAAACATCAAAGATTGTAGCCTCTATCTCTTTCTCTCTTTGTAAAATATGAATTTTTACAAATTTATTTACATTTCCCAGGGCAAAAAAAAGTATTAGCTTTCAAAATGTTTTTACATAAACTATTCCATTGTAAATAAACTCAAGTGAGAGAGAGAGAGAGAGAGACAGGGAGCTAGAGTGAAGATGCCATAAATCGAATGTGTTTAACACCTTTGTTTTTCGTTTTGTCTAGCAACTTGTTTCAATTGCCATTTTGGTCGCTTGGAATCTCAGTTGAAAACGAACTTAATTTTTTTCTTCTGTATTTGAAATATATTAACTTTTGCTTTTTTCCTGCAAATTCCAGTTTTAGCGCTCACTTTTATTTGCTCTCTTTGCGAAAAGAGAGGCAGGGAGAGCGGCAGAGTGGTGAGTCGAGAGAGGAGGACGGGTTGTCAAACTCTGCCAAATTGCTAATTTGTGTAGCGTGTTTAGCTGTCGTCTATATATATGGGCTCACATCTTTGTATGTGTATGTGTATGTATGCATGTATGTGTGCGCTTTGTTTCTTTGCATATTTTGGCAGTGAGACAATTCTACGCCAAGTTCGCCAAATCATTGAGATTGTTCTCAGCGTATAATATATATAGTCTGTGTGTATGTATGTGTGCTGTATTATATCTCTGAATCTCTATTTGTATTTCTCTCTCACACGCGTTCTTAGCCAATATGCCGCGTTTTTTGTTCTGTTTGCCAAGTCTGCTCTGTGTTTTGTTGCGTTCATTGACATTGAGCTAAAAATCTCGAAATACACTTCATTTTATTTTATTGGCCAACAACGAAGTTAACCTATCTTATTATTAGCGAAGCCATAAAAAATATACGGTATATACATTTATATATATATTCCCGATTGCTGATTAACAGTCTGTATGTTTCTAATCTTATTTGCAATCTGTGTACACAATTTAATCAGGGTTTTAATTGAACTGGAAATATAAAAATTGTGTACATATATATATATTATTTATTTATTTATTATTGAATTCTTGAGAAATTTTGACTGTTGAAGTAAGGTTCTTAAAGCTAAGTAATTTTGGTACACAAACACAGATTTGGTTGTCTTACAAAGAAGTTCTAAAAACTGTATTAGATAAATATAGACGCTTTCAAAAGGCTAAAAGAATATGTCAGGGTATGACCTAGTCGTCCACTCCTTTCTATATATGTATATATATATTTATTTTGTCACTGATTTCTTTCATAATTTTTGCATTGTTTTCAATGTAAATTTATTTCTGCTGCTCGCTTAGCTTGCTAATAAAGAAAAACCGATAAGAATACGTATATAATATATATATTGTATAAACATGTTGAATAATGTTTATTTGTTGTCTTTGTAATTTTGGTGACACGCCAAAAAATAAAATGCGAAAAAAATGAAACATTCAAAACATTTGTTCAACAAAAAATTGGTTTATTAAATGAAATTTCTCTTAGGCGGGGGTGTTTTTTTTTTCTTTTTGCTCGGCCTATATTTACTCATCAAACACATAAAAGCAGCCAGCCTACCCAAAAAAAAATATATGTATAAGTGTATGACAAGCCTTTTTCTGTATTTGCTTTTTTGGCTTCATTCAAAAGTTGTGTTTGGCTTGTTCATAAAATATTAGCTGGACGCATCATTGAATATTTATGCACTTTTTATATAGATTATCCATAGCTGGAAACGCAATCGGCTTAACTTATATGCACTTGTTCTCTCCATAGTATACAGTGTATACCCCTTAGGTAAATAGAGAAATGGGTAAATAAGTATATAATGTTTAATTTGTATATAAGTGTTATAGATAGAAAAGGGTGTGGCCGATGGTACGAAGCTTACTTTAACTTTATTAAGAAAACCTCCATTATCCAGTCCGGATTACGAAGTATCCAGTAGCTGGGCACTCCCCATTATCCGTATATTTTTTGTTTAAATATCATCAGTAGCTTGTTATCCAGCTATTTCTCCACTCCTTACTCGTCGTACTCCTCTCTCTTTCTATCTCTTTCCCCCTCTCAAGCTGCATTTTGTTTTCCTGATTTCCCCGTAGGCCGAAAAAACAGTTTTTACTGAATTTTGCTCTGTGGCTGTCTCAAATATCTGTGTACATGCCATACATATATGTTGGTCCGAGGGCTGCCATTGTAGTTTGGGAATGAAATACTCTCGAATGCTTAAAAATAAACCATTGATATTGTATATAAAGCGCATAATAATGTTTCAATATAACTATAAGATCTTAAGCTTTGATCATTATAACTATTTTGCTGCTTCATTGTTATCAGATGAAATATATTCAAAACTGAATATGTTTTCCTAGATCATGATTGATATACGATTTATAGTCAAAGTTTGTAACTAACAAATGAATAACAATTTAATATTATTGTAAAATAATTCATTTGAAATTCAAGTCTTAGTAATTTTTAGAGTTCATCTCGCAACGCTGATGTATATTTATTTTCGTATAGTCGTGTATTTTTACTGTTTAAATATTCATTTCTGCCCGCATTAACAAATACATTTTATGAAATATATTTCATCTACAACAGTTGCATGCACACATGCGGGCTAATTGTTGTTATTGTTGTTGCTGTTGTTGCCGTTGTTGTTTATTCATCTGTAGAGATTTGTTTCTATGATTTGCAGCTGTGATGTCATAAAACATGCAACTTTAATCTTGAATTGTATTTGTTGTTATACTTGTTCATGGAGTCAAAAGAGAGAGTCTATAGGTTTGGTCAATTTGTCTGAGACTTGAAATTGGGAATTTATACTGATGTGTACCCTTGTCTGATATGCTGATAAGATTTCTGTTATTTATTTGTTGAGGCATAAGGCTTCGGGTATATTACAACATAAACAACGTTGTCTAGAGATTCGGTAAATCTCGACTGGTATATACCCTGTCATATGGAAATATAAGAGCATATGCAGTTATCTCTCATTGATAAATATTGAATCAGTTCGTTTTGTAGCTGAATCAGAATATTATATTATAAATTTTTGCGTAGATAGAGTTTTTCTATACCTTAGGCGAGCATTATGTAGTCAGTTGAGCCCGGTAATGTTCTCACTAGTTTCGCGTTGTTGTTAGTTATTAACGCAACTTGACGCTTTCCTCGACATGCTTTTGAGAACCCACACTACCGCTTGACACCCCTTTACCACTAGCTGCTTCGCAGCTCTCCTCTCCGTCCGTCTATGTCCTCTCTATGCGCTTCTCAAAACCCCCCTCGGGCAAAACATGTTTCGTTCAAGTCGTTTTTGATGGCTTTTGTCTTATTGAATGGCAGGCAGGCAACAAATATTTATGCTGTTATTGTTTGTTGGTTGTTGTTGTTGTTGTAGTTGTTGCTTTTATGCTAATACTCGATTTGCTGCAAACACGTTTCACGAGTCGAGAAAGA